GCTGCTGCACGAAGGTCGTCTTTGATCCATGATCAACCACAAGCAGCGGCTTACTTCAATGCTGTACGGATCAATGTTAGTCTATTTAGCCAGTTCTATACCTTGTACTCTGTGGCCTTTATATATTGGTAGTATCGGTTTTCCTTGAATAAAAGTGCTCGAGTTAAACATAATGAGTAATGACATTTTGTTTTCTTGGAAATTGATTGCTTGAATGTGATAAATTCTAGATTTTTTTTCATAAAAGAAGGTTGAGATTGTGATTGTTTGATTATTGTTTGAGTGGTGGATAAGTGGATAGTATTTTGTGGGTTTTATGAGAATTGTGAACAAAAAAGTGTTTTGACTGATTATAAATAGTTTATAAATGAAAGCAAGACAAGGGTGTCGTGTAACTTTTCTTCCAACTTCAACCTAGTCGAGCAGTAAGCTATTTAAAGAAGAATAATGTTACTTATACATGATATAATTATATAAAGATTTATATACAGATGAGGTGTTAAAAAGAGAGTAGATAAGTTTTTTTTTTTTTTTTTTTGATTGAAGAAATTTTGATATAATCGTATTTTATTACATCATGTGTATGTAAATCATTATATACATGTAACACAGTCGATGTAAAGAGCATGAGTTTTAGCAATCGATGTAAAGAGCATTTTGTTTTCCCCTGCATAAGCACGATAACATACAAAATCTTTGGTCCCATAAAACGACACTAGAAATTGAATTTTAAAATTTATGAACAAAATAAAGGAAAAATTGATTGGTTTGGATTAACGTCTTAGTTAAAGAAAATCATTAAGTTTGTTAAAAGAAATTTACAGGAAAGTAAAAAGTTTTTTCAAAGATTGGTAATTATATTAAAAGAAATGATCTAATTAGTATTAGTGATATGTCATATCAAATAACTATTGAATGAATTTATGGTGGGTCTCAAAATTTAAATTAAATTTATTATCTCCCAATAAATTGATAGGTAATATTATCCTTGGTTAACTTAAGATGAGCACCGACGCTCATTGTATCATTTTTCTTATGGTAACACATGAATTTTATTAATTTCAAAACATTTTAACTACAATGGAGATTTTCAACCTTTGTGTTTTTCATTTATGTCCCTAACTTTTTTTT